CACTCACCAGGAGACTGTCACACCCTCCTACACTCACCAGGAGACTGTCACACCCTCCTACACTCACCAGGAGACTGTCACACCCTCCTACATTCACCAGGAGACTGTCACACCCTCCTACACTCACCAGGAGACTGTCACACCCTCCTACACTCACCAGGAGACTGTCACCCCCTCCTACATTCACCAGGAGACTGTCACACCCTCCTACACTCACCAGGAGACTGTCACACCCTCACTACACTCACCAGGAGACTGTCACCCCCTCCTACACTCACCAGGAGACTGTCACACACTCCTACACTCACCAGGAGACTGTCACACACTCCTACACTCACCAGGAGACTGTCACACCCTCCTACACTCACCAGGAGACTGTCACACCCTCCTACACTCACCAGGAGACTGTCACCCCCTCCTACACTCACCAGGAGACTGTCACACCCTCCTACACTCACCAGGAGACTGTCACACCCTCCTACACTCACCAGGAGACTGTCACACCCTCCTACACTCACCAGGAGACTGTCACACCCTCCTACACTCACCAGGAGACTGTCACACCCTCACTACACTCACCAGGAGACTGTCACACACTCCTACACTCACCAGGAGACTGTCACACCCTCACTACACTCACCAGGAGACTGTCACACCCTCCTACACTATATATACATACACTGGCTGCCTGTCCCCCCGAAAAAACGCGTTATTATACAAGAACGTCTCTAAGACTAAACAAGAGACCACATCTAAGACTGGTAAGGAAACCACAGCACACGGAATAAATGTTAAGGTGCTTGAATGGATTAAACAATGGTTAATATAAAGAAAGCAAAGAGTCGTAGTAAATGAAAATGAATCCGAGAAAATAATGTAGCAAGTCTGGTACCTCAAAGGTCCACCTTGGGGCCAACCCTTATTGCTATATACATCAATGACAGATGAGAATATTACAAACCACATCATCAGATTTTCAGATGACACTAATATTTATGATAAAGTAAAACGCGAAAATAATATTGAGGTCTAACAGATCTGCATGAACTCCACAAATGGTTAGAAGACTGGCTCATTAATACTGAGAAATGCAAGACCTTGCAAGTAGGGTATAACAATACACACCACAACTATCACTTAACCAATGAAGTTTATCAGATCAGTTGAGATCAGTTGCTGATCTCATTATGTGCGTCTGTACCCTTCACTACAGTATGGGTATGGAGTGCATATTAAATAAACTAAACTAAGCTTATACTCCAACCAACACTCTTAAGAACATATCTAGTAAACAATGTATACCTATGCAACAGAATGCTTGTGTTCGAGGTTGGAGGCCAGGCACTAGAGCCTCACCCAACCTTCACACAGGAAGCATGTGTGAAGGTTGGGGAGTGTCACAGGCCACTCGGGGTCGCCTACAGTATAACTCTAGGAAATATCAGCATCTAGCCTCGTCCCCACTATTGGTTCGATTTAGATGTCACCCACCGTTCAGAAAGGACAGCACAAGAGTAGGTGGTGCAATGCTGTACGTGAAAGTAGATTTGAATGCAACCACCAATGAGGAATTACACACCATGGGATCCTCAACATCTATACCAGACGAAAATGGTTCTAAACAGAGTGAGAGGATGCTACAGGGTTGACACAGCTAAAGCAGAGGAAGTTGATCACATTTGCATAATGTGATCATTGCAGCAGCAGAAACTGAGGTCATAGTAATGGGGGACTTTAATAACGAGACAATAGATTGGTTGACTTAACACCACAAGCAGACTGAGAACAATTTCTTGACTTGGTACAGGACTCCTTTGTCATACAGCATGTGACAGTCCACCCGAGATAACAGCATTCTAGACCTTGTGCTAACATAAATAATATTAATAAATTATTATTATTATTATTGTTTTGCTAGAGAGGGGTAGAGCTGCTCATATATATTAGCTTTCAAATATTTTAGACAAGGGGGAGGAGGCGATTGATTGGTAGGTAACAGGAAACGTGCTCAACCATTTATGTCTCGTCCAGGACACGGACTTTGCTAATGACTCTTGATAAGGTACTACATGAAAGACTAACCAAAAAATTACAAGCCCACGGTATAAATTGTAGAATACTAGAATGAATTAAACAATGGTTAAAACAAAGAAAGCAAAAGGTCGTCCTCAACAGAAATGAATCTGACTGGAGAAATGTGGTGAGTGGGGTACCTCAGGGGTCCATATTGGGGCCAACCCTTGTTTTGTAATATACATCAATGACATAGATAAGAATATTACAAAACCACACTATTCAATTTTCAGACGACACTCAAGATTCATGGTAAAGTAGGAAGTGACAATGGTATTGAGACCTTACAAAGGGATCTACATGAACTTCAGAAATGGTTGAAAGACTTAAGTGCTTCTTAATAACGAAAAATGCAAGACCATGCAAGTGGGACATAACAATGCACAACACAACTCCCAATTTAACAACATTACCTTGCAGCAGATTGACGAAGAAAAATATTCTCGAGTCGGAATCCACCAATCACTGAAAGTTGCACAACAAGCGAGAGCTGCAGTTAAAAAAGACTACCGAACCCTAGGAATAGTCAAACGAAATTTTGACCTCAAGGAAAAGGTAGACATACAACTGTATAAATCTCTGGTGGGCCCTCACTTGAATTATTGTATCGAGGCAATGAGACTTCATCTCCAGAAAGACATAGCTGCATGGAGAAAGATCAACGCCGGGGGACTAAAATAATTTCAGAAACAAGTCAACTCTCATACCAGGAACGGTTGAGGGCCACAGGGCTGACAACACTGCACACCAGACATGCAACCCGTTCTCGCAAATTTAATAAGTCAATATTGACTTATTAAATATGTGCATAGGTGACATACTTAACATAATAGATACCCTTAAAAAGACTCATAGAAAACATCGACCTTACCTAACCTTGTTAATATCTTAAGATAAGCATCTTATTGCTCCGTAATTACAATTATTACCTAACCTATAATAGGTATAGGTTAAGTAATAATTGTAATTACGAAGCAATAAGATGCTTATCTTAAGATACTAACAAGGTTAGGTAAGGTCGGTGTTTTCTATGAATCTTTTTAAGGGTATCTATTATGTTTAGTATATCACCTATGCACGTAGTTAATAAGTCAATATTGACTTATTAAATTTGCGAGAACGGGTTGAGACATGACAGCCTAGCGAATCTCAACGAAACTTTTACAATACTGAACAATTGGAAGATGCTGGTCCAGACAACTTCTTCAAAATATCAGATGTAACACAAACAAGGAGCAACGGTGTGAAGCTCAAGAAACCACAGAGCAGGACGATAAACAAATACCTTTTCACTCACAGGGTTATAAACCCGTGGAACTGCCTACCCGCCCAAGCCGTAAATGGCAAAATTCTGCTGATTTTCAAAAACCAACATGACAAAATCATCAGGACAAATGGGGGGACCTTTGACAAGCCGCTGGCTCTTGTCCTCGTCGAGGCTACTCAGTGGCCCTCAGATAAATTCAGGTAAAATATTTTTTCTGAAAGGGGGAAAGGGGAGAGGCGGGATGTTTGAAGAAAGTGAGAGTGAGGAGTAGAGAGGTGGACAGGGGGAAAGAAGGGAGATGAGGGTGGTGAGAGGAGAGGTGTTGGAGAAAGTAGAGGGGAGATATATGAAACAGACAGACTGAAAAAAGGAAGTGTGTTTAGTTCATTTATTATGCACCCCATACCCATCTTGTGGGCAGTAGTGGAAAGGGTTACAAAGGCACAATGGGCTCAGGGACTGAACCCCACAATTCATTTAGATAAGCAAGTTACAATCTTGACGAGTTACAAAATTCAATAATCGTCATCACATCATCAATGGGTTCGAGATCGACCATAAGTACAGTTTCTAAATTAAGCAACTGACATATGTGGAGAGCTAGTGTCACAATTGACATGTTTGTCCTGCACACCGCCCCCCCTCCAGTGGGCAGCGGTGGATAGGTTATAATCACTTAGTTACTACCTACAAGGAAGAGAGAGACCCGGTGTGGTAATATTGCATTATCCTGCCAGCAGTTGCCTGCAACGCCGCCAGTGTGCGTACGGCAGACGCTTCACAAAGCTGTGGGACTCTGGCAGCACGAGAACAAGCATACAGGGCCTGTGTGCACGGTCGAGCAAGTCCTGGGTGCACGGTCGAGCAAGTCCTGGGTTCACGGTCGAGCAAGTCCTGGGTGCACGGTCGAGCAAGTCCTGGGTGCAGGGTCGAGCAAGTCCTGGGTGCACGGTCGAGCAAGTCCTGGGTGCACGGTCGAGCAAGTCCTGGGTGCACGGTCGAGCAAGTCCTGGGTGCACGGTCGAGCAAGTCCTGGGTGCACGGTCGAGCAAGTCCTGGGTGCACGGTCGAGCAAATCCTGGGTGCAGGGTCGAGTAAGTCCTGGGTGCACGGTCGGGCAAGAGTCCCGGGTTGTGTGCACCGTCACCCATCCAGTTCCTGGCCAGACCTTATGGTCCCCATCCCACTGAGAGCCTCACCTCACATCCTGCTCGCCTCCTCAATTGGGGTCACCATCAAATATTAATTACACTTGTGACGGCATTATTTTTATTTTGATATGTACTCTTTTCAGAATATTTTTGTGCATATTTGTTTTTGCCCAGTTGTCGGGGCCACGAAGCTTGCGCTCAAGCTTATTTATCTAGGTCACTCTACTCCAACTGCTGACCTTCTCCACGATCCAACCCACAACAGTTGCCTACCTCCCGGGTAACTGTTTACTGCTAGGTGAACAGAGAAATTAGATGAACGGACACGTGCCCAACCGTTTCCGTCCCGCCCGGCTATTGAACCCGGGTCTCTTGGTAGAGTCAAGGTCAAGATCAGCAGCCTTCATCACATTTGATAATTTGCATTGGCATTGTCAACCCATTATGTTGAAATGTAATGTATCACATAAATTAAACGTCCCACTTGAAATAAGTTGGCGGAGACTTACAGCGCCAGTGGAGCACGCAGGGAGCAGGCGGTTGCTGACCTCAGCGCCATGTCTGGGAGACTGTCGGTCATGTAGCGCCACACGCTGGGGTACTCCTCCCGGTACGATAACTTGGGCACTACGCTACGCTCTCCACCAATCACAGCTCTTGTTGCAGATGACGTCAATGATAATAGTCAAGGTGTCTCTTGCTGATTTTCATGTTAGAGAAATTAACTTCGCAAAATCTCAATTTCGGCGGTTGTATATTTCAACCATTATTTCAATATATGAAAAAATCTGTATTAATTATTGCAATATTCTATAAACTGTATAATGAGGTGGCTGTATAATGCAACCTGCCATTATACAAGAAATCTTAGGTCCAACTTGATAGTGATGACAGGAAAGATTGTCTTGCTCTGAAACAGTAAAGGTAATAATATGTGAGGTGTGGTCAGTATAATGCTGGTCACACGGGTGGCCACAGGGCAGCCTAGCCCTCATGTCAGCCTATCGACACCACACAGGGGATGAAACACGCCAAACTCAGCCTACAATATGTAAGTAATGATCAAAAGAAGGCACCAAGCCTGGAGACTTTAGTTTAGCACATAACATACTGACTATAAGTATCTTTGTTATGCGTCGGGTGAAACAAAACACCACAGACGATATAACTTGTTATTCAATTTAAATATTAATAATAAAATATTTGCAACTGTAAGTTGCATGAAAGTGTTGCAACTGCAGTTGCTAGTAACTGGCAACTGAAGCTGCTGGAGTTTGTGCAGCTGCGCGGTTGCTAGTAAGTTGCAACTGCGAGTTGCAGGCTATGGTGTGCATGTGCAGGGACACTTGTTAAGTAATGTAATGTAATTAAGTGACCTTAATACCTATTCTACGTAAGTAGGGGCATATGCACCCGAACATAGTAGTTCGTAAATAAAGGACACAAGGTTAGAGAATTCATCTCAGAATTATAAGTGGTGCACTTAACAGTAATGACGAAGGATGAATATCGCTTGTGGACAAGTAATCCTAAATAATTAACATTACTAATTACCAATAATTAGCCACTTACTTATGTGTCTAACATTACATGTGTAAATGATGAGACACACTGCATGTATACAGAAACATTAAAGAGTATGCATGATGAATGTGTATACACGCATACAAAGATCCAGATTAAAAGAAGTAAAAAAGTAGTGTCAAGCATACTGAGTTGTGCCGAGTGTTGGAGGGGGGGGGGAGGGAGAGAGGCCCTCCCACCCCCCACGCCAGGCCGGCCGGCGCGGTGGTGGCGCAGTGGTAAAACACTCGCCCAGCACTTCATGGCGGTTAGTTTATTGTGCACCCCATACTCATCCTGTGAGCGGTAGCGCAAAAAGCATTACAGAGGGCACAAAAGGTCTTTACCAAACATCAACGGAAATTATTACATAAACAATTTAATCTATCCTTCACACCTTATATTTACAATGTCAGCTAGTTACAAAGAATGTTCTATTTCAAGAGCTATACATATTTACAGTAAGTTATTATACATTAATGGTAGGTCTTATCGCTAATACATAATTGTTCAACCCCCGATCAAGGTTGAACCAATTGTTAAAGTGGTTGGTCACCATTCCTTCCCATGATCCCAAATCCTTATCCTGTCCCCTTCCAAGTGTTGTAAAGTCGTAATGGCTTGGCGCTTTCCCCTGATAATGAAAAAAATAGACCAATGGAGATATTACAGAGTCATAGGGAAGCTGCTGTTTATTATTAGTCCTCACAATACACTAATTTTTCTTAATCTCATATGTCGTTCATCTACTGGAGGCGAAATATCGATACAGTGTAAGGATTTCAGGTATTTTATCAATGGTAATAAGATAGGTTGCCATATCTTACAACGTGAGTTTAGATTTATCTCTAAATGGCTCAATTTTACTACAGTCCAAGATATATTCTGTTCGAGTGTGTGTCCCTGTCTTTGTCCACACACTTTACACTTTACTTCATCTAGATCCTTATACAAGCCGAACTGCCAGAGATACTTGTAGCCAAGTCTTATTCGGGCTGTGAAAACATCTGTTAGTCTGCTATGTTACTTGCCCCATACACATGTTTTACTTCACACATTTCTTTGTGATAAACAGTGGACCTGCTAGTTCCAGTTTGCACTGTTCTACTTTCTTCAAATTTATCCAGGAGTCCTCATCTAATAACACTTTTAAGGGACTTATTTGATAACTCAAGATTCCGTTCAATACTGTCTTTATTTACTGCAACCTTAGCAAGGGCGTCAACTTTGTCATGTTCCTGCAGGCCAATGTGAGAAGGAATCCACAACATTTTTATATTTACTCTCTTGCTAAGTATGCTTATATCTCTATGTTTGGCTTCTGAGACAAGCACGTTATTACTCGATTGCAAACTATTTATTGCTAGTAGTGAGGGAAGGGAGCCGGAAATAATTAAGTTGTCTAATTCAGTGTTGTTAATAATTTCGAGTGCTACATTTCACGAGCGCTTTATCCAGGGTTCGTATCCTAACCGGGGAGGATTGACTGGGCATCAATCCTAACTGTAGCCTCTGTTCATCCAGCAGTGAATGGGTACCTGCTTGTTAACGATTTGGTGCGTCGTATTCCTGGGAAAATAAGGATTAAGGACTTGCTCGAAACGCTTTGCATGCTTGTGGCTTTACAAGAATGTAAGAACTCTTGTATATATAAATAAATAAATAAATCTTATAAGTACTATAAGTTTAGATTTAGGAAAGACTTGGGTAAATACTGATTTGGTAACAGTATTGTTGATTTGTGGAACCAATTACCGCGTAACGTTGTGGAGGTGGGATCCCTCGATTGTTTCAAACGCGGGTTGGACATGTATATGAGTGGGATTGGGTGGTTATAAATAGGAGCTGCCTCGTATGGGCCAATAGGTCTTCTGCAGTTATCTTTGTTCTTATGTTCTTACTTGTAATGAAAACTCTGCAAAATATATTTCTTGTTCAATAGATAATAACTGAGTAAATTAAAACAACTCGCTCAACAACTTATCAAGAAGTAGCTAGTCTCCTTATCTCTAATCTGGAATTATTGTACACGGAGTTATCTAAAGTTGTTATACAACATTAACGATGCAGTTGTACAGGACGACACGTCTAGTGATAATTAAGCTTAGTTAATCTGTGCGACCCATTGTGTTAGGTCCAGACCCTCGCCGCATGCCTGATATACGACCTTCATGTACAAGCTCCAGTTTCAAAACTCGTTATTATCCAAAATATAAATATGGCAGAAAGTGCTCAGCAGAAAACTTCATACCGGTAAGCCTGACCTCTTATATCTGCAGGGTAAAGAAGAGAATATTAAGGGAGGGAATCATACACCATCCATTCAGCTTTGTAGTAGCGCATTCCCACACACACTCACACTGCCACCCGTTGAGGGTATGGATACAATGCGACCCAAACGTCTAAAGGTAAGAGCTTCTCCCCTTGACGGTCATGCTTTCAGGAGAAGCAATATTCTTAAGGTCCCGAAGGACGTTACTGGCATCACACCCACTGATATTAGTCAAGAAGGTGATGATTTCGTGCTCTTCTTTTCACGTGAGGGAGAGCTAGAAAAACTCTTTACCAACATGCCATTCTTCATAAAAAGTACCACCTACATCCTCACTACCCACGTCAGTTCCTGGCCGGAAGAACTGTCTTTACCAGCAAGACCAGACAGTGGATCGCTGACCGACCGCAACATATCATGGACAATATCGAGGACGAAAATCCGAACCTGGGTGTATTCAACCAAGAGCACCGACAAATCGTCAGTGAAGATTATTTTCACCACCATAGCTGGGGCCACCCAGGTTGCCACGCAAGATTTCTACTGCTTCGGCTTACAAATACCACCCCACCAAGTAAACACAGCAACGATATCACGAGATCCAGCAGTGCTTCAAGTGCTACGAGTTCTCTCACCCCACCAACAAGTGTCAGCACCCTGTCCAGAGGTGCAGCCTGTGCACACTGGAGTAAATTATATCTGAAGAACAACACCAGGTGTTTTGTTAGTAACGCTTCGATTAATAAATTCCAGTGTCCTATTTGCCTTATTACGAACATTTATGCATTTAATTTTTTTATTTTAAATTTTTACTAATCATAACTCGCAGATCCCTTTCGCAATCCGACTTCGCAATCTCAACACCATCTAGCTTGTATCTTGTAACTCTATCATCATTAACTAGCCTCAAAACCTTATATTTGTTAGCATTAAATTGCATCTGTCAATCTTTTGACCATTTCAAAACCCAATTTATATCGCCTTGAAGCGATAGCGAGTCTTTTTCTGTCTTTATTTCACTCCCGATTTTGTTATCATCGTCAAATTTGCAAATTTTGCTCTTCAAACCTGAATATAAATCATTTATATATATTATAAATAACAGAGGTCCTAGGAATATCAGTCAGGCTCAGGCAGTCACAGTGAGAGGGTGTGTAGCTTGACCTCCAATTGTCATGGGGGCTTTGGGGGTGGGCCGGTCTTGGAGCGGGACATGAACCCAGCGATAGGTGACGTAAAAGGGGATTTCGATGTGGACTCATAATATAACTTATTTAAGAATATTCTAAGCAAAGCACAGGAACGTAGTATACCATACAAATTGAATAGATCGAATACTAATGACCCAAAGTGGATAACAAATAATTTGAAGAACCTTTTAGGTAAAAAGAGAGCTTGGTACAAAAGGATTAAAAATGGGGAGGTCACTTTAGAACAGGAATTCGTACAACTGGTTAGAAATGTTAAAAAAGAGATAAGGAAAACAAAAAGAAACTATGAAGTTCGCATAGCAGGGCAAGCAAAGACAAATCCTGAAGGGTTTTTTCAGTTATATCGAACTAAGACTAGGGAAAGGATAGGTCCATTAAAAACTCAGACAGGTCAAATAACGGATAATGACGAGGAGATGAGTAGTATTTTTAATAAATATATTATATCTGTATTTAGTAAAGAGGAACTTAACAATATGCCTTCAGCCGAACAAGTCTATGTGGGTGGGGATGAGGACAGGTTGACGAGTTTAGCAGTTACCAGGGAGGATGTAATTAA